TTGTCTATTATGAATACTAACACTTTTACAGTGAACAGCTTTATAAATGTCCTTTTGAGTGCTTGTGTATTTTCCTAGATTTCTATAAGGGGAATCGCTGTGTCATGTAGACCAGTAAATGGGCTCTTTAGCTTCAGTAAACATTTCCAAATTGCTGTCCACATTCTTGCCAACATGCTATGTAAGCAAACTTTTAAACTTTTTGATAGTATGATGAATGTAAAAATTTATTTCTTAAAAATTATTCCTTCAGAAATTTTCACCACTGATATTTCTTTTTTTATTTTCTCATGTGACTATGAGGAATAACTTGTAGGTCCCTTGAAAAATGTTGCTGATTTCATTTTCCTTTCCCTGATAAATACTTTTTGGCCTTTGTGTTTCTTTTTTCTGTATATAACACATTTATGTCCTTTGCCTATTTTTCCATTGTTTTGATGGTTCTTATAAGTAGGAGCACTACTTCTTTGTTATATGCCTTTTCATTTTGTGTTTGGTGACTTCTTTTAATAACAGAGGTTTTAAAAATTTAATCAAACATATTAGTCTTTTCCTGTATGATTTATATTTTTATGTTGCTTATACTATCTTGTCAATAAATTATTCCCTACCTTCATGTCACTAAGTTGTTCTTCCATGTTTTCTTCTAAAAGATTGTTTGCTTTTCATATTTTTTTCTTTCATCCATCTAGATTGATTTAGAGGCTGTGTGAGATTCAAGCCTGACTCTTATTATATGGATACCCAGTTATCCCACCATTTTTTAATTGAACATGGCATCTGTTTTGCTTATTTGTAATCCTGACTCTCACATATACCACGTGCCAGTATAGGTTTGTGTCCAGACTTTATGCCCAGGCTGTATGTTTGTGTCCATTACTTCTCTGTTTACCTGTTCCGAAAGCAGGACTGCACTGTTAATTACTATAGCTTTACAAAGTCTCTTCTCCCAGCTGTGCTTCTTCAAAGTTGAATTGACTTAACTCTATCAAAGAAATTTCAGAATTAACTTCTACAGTTGTATCACATGGTAGGTTAATTTGTGAGAATGTATTCATTTCCTTTTGAAGATAACCTTTATCGAAACATAACATACAGAATTAGGTACAAATCACAAGTGTACAGCTTAATGAATTTTCACAAAGTGTACCCATTCAAGTATCCAAAACCAGGTCAAGAAATAGAACAATAGCTTGGGAATGAACACATTCTAAAATCTCCACTTGTAGAGTAAGGGAGGGCCTCCCAATAACTCCTTCCCCTCTAAAGGGTAACCACTCTACTAATTTCTTTTACCAAAGAATAATAATTTGGTTATTTTTGTTCTCATTTTTGAGCTTTATGAAACATACAATATATATTCTTTGTGTCTGGCTTCTTTGATTCAACATTGGTTATATGTGATTCATCCTTTTTTTTTTTTGCATATTGCTTATTTATATTGTCATAGAGAATTTACTTGTATAAATATATAACTTCTCTGTTCTCTTGATAAACATTTGAGTTACTTCCACTTTAGTACTGTTATGAAAGTATTGCTGTGAACATTCTTTTACATGTTTTTTTAAAAGAAAAAGTACATCATATACATTTCTGTTGGACATGTAACTAGGAGCAGAATTGTTCAGATATGTCTTTTTTCAGCTTTAGTAGACTCTCCCAAGCAGTTTTCCAAAATAGTATACAATTTACTCCCCTAATAACAGTATATAAAAATTTTAGTTGTCCTACATCTTTGCCAAAGCTTAATACTGACAGTTTTTGGTTTTAACTGTAGCCATTTAGTGAAGTAATGTTGTCTCCCTGATTTGGTTTGTGTTTTCTTAATGATTTAAAGTAGACTGTCATCTTAATGGTCATTTGTGTTTTTTTCTGCTGTCATTTAAATTTTTTTTTTCTACCATTTTTCTTGAAGTTTGTCTTTCTTTTGGTTTGTGGGAGTTATGTACACTGCATTCAAGTCTTTGGGAAATATATAGTTCGTATATCATATATTCTGTAATTCTTTATTCTCTTAGACATCTTTTGATCAATGTTATTGTTGTTGTTCAGTCACTAAGTCATGTCCATCTCTCTGTGACCCCATGGACTGCAGCATGCCACACTCCCCTGTCCTCCACTATCTCCTGGAGTTGGCTCAAGTTCATGTTCATTGAGTCGGTGATGCTATCTGACCCGTCTTATCCTCTGCCATCCTCTTCTCCTTTTGCCTTCAGTCTTTCTAAGAAGCAGTCTTTTCCGGTGAGTTGGCTCTTTGCATCAGGTGGCCAGAGTGTTGGAGCTTCAGCTTTAGCATCAGTCCTTCCAGTGAATATTCAGGGCTGATTTCCTTTAGAATTGACTGGTTTGATCTCCTCACAGTCCAAGGGACTCTCAAGTGTCTTCTCCAACACCACATTTCAAAAGCATCAAGGCTTCAAAAGCTTTTATAAATTTGTTTTAAAAGAAACCTTGTTTTTACTGTTTACCTTTTTCAGTTTCTTTCAATAATATTTTGTAGTTTTCTCTGTAGAAATCTTGTTCATTGTATTAGGTTTATTCCTAGATATTTGATTTCTTTTGATACTGTGGTAAATTAGATCATTTAAAAAACTTCCAATTACTTGTTGATAAAATGTAGAAATAATGTTTGGCATTTGAATACTGAACTTGTACCTAAAGTGCTTGCTCATTTCATTTGTAGATTCTAATAATTTTCATAGATCACTGGTAACATAGTAATGACATATAGGAATAATGACAGTTTCATTATTCTCTTTCTAATCCTTATACCTTTTGTTTCCTTTCTCTGCATTTTTAAAAATGAATGGATATTTGATTTATTTTGTTATTGTGGTAAATTACATTAATTGGCTTTTGAATATTATACCAACCTCATTTTCCTCAAAAATCCTAAATGGTTTATGTATCTTTGGATTGTCTTATTAATATTTTATTGAGGAGTCTTGTATATGTATTTGTGGATGAAGTTGACCTATAAGTTTTCTTTCTTGTAATGCTCTTGTCAAGTTTTGGTGTCGAGATCATGGTGGCTTTCAGAAATGATTTGGGAAGAGATCCCTCTTGTTCTGTTCTCTAAATAGTTTTTGTAAGATTGGCACTATTTTTTCTTCAATCGTTCAGTTGTGTCCAACTCTTTCCAACCCCATGGAGTGCAGCACACCAGGCTTCCCTGTCCTTAGTGGGAAAGTTATCTCAAACTTTGGTTTGGGTTTTCTTATTGAAGGACTTTTAATTACAGATTTAAAATCTTTAATATATACTGGATTATGTTCTATTTATTATATTATTTTTGTCAATTTTTAAAAAGAACCCTGCTCATTTAATCTGAATTTTCAAAGCATTTCATATGCCAAATGTTTGTTTATAATAGGGTTATTATTTTTTAACATCTGAAGAAAAATTTAAAAAGTTTTGATCATAAGTTTATCATTTAGGGCTTCCCTGGTGGCTCAGAGGGTAAAGAATCTGCCTGCAATGTGGGAGACTTGTGGGTTCAGTCCCTGGGTTAGGTAGAGCCCCTGGAGAAAGGGTTGGCAACCCACTCCAGTATTCTTGCCTGGAGAATTCCATGGACAGAGGAGCCTGGGGGCCTACAGTCCATGGGGTTGCAGAGTCAGACAGGACTGAGAAACTAACACTTTCACCTTTTCAACTTAGAGATGGAATAGGTTTACTTTTTATCTCCTCAATTGTAAGGCTTTATAATGCTTTATAATGCTGATACCCCATTATTTGCATGAGGCATCTCGACTCCTCTTGTCTCTTCTCTATTTTTTTCTTTCCTTTCATTGCTAATTATTCTTTTTACCCCTGTCATACCTTTTGGTTCCTCATAACTTCTCATTTACGGTCCCCAGTGCCTTGTAGCTTCGTTCTGCCTTTCTTATCAACCTGTCCTCTGGTTATCAATTGATTGATCCTCTCCATGGTTCTTGGGGCTTCTCCAGTGACTCACTGGTAAAGAATCTGCCTGCAATGCAGGAACCACAGGAGACAAGGGTTCCACCCGTGGGTCAGGAAGATCCCCGGAGGAGCTCATGGCAATCCACTCCAGTATTCTTGCCTGGAAAATCCTCTGAACAGAGGAGCCTTGCGGGTTATATATAGTCCATGGGGGCTCTAAGAGTCAGACACGACTGAAGTGACTGAGCATGCACACACGCACTCCATGGTTCTCAATTTCAACTCCCAAGAGATGATTTGATGAGCCTAGTTTCAGAAGACGTTTATGTCATCTCTTAGGCTGTTGGTCAGTTATGGATTGGCTACTCTTGACCAGGCAGGGATTACCAAGGGCGTTGTGTTCACATAGTAAAGCAAGTGGATGCCTAAGGCTGACTCCTCTGTAGAGGACTGCAGTTGGATGGTTTCTCTTAGAATATACTTGGCAAGTACTAGAATTGTTTAATGCAGGTAAGTTCTAGAAATTAAATCACAGCAAGTATTGCAGCTTTTCTGCCTTTTTCACTTACTCTGGTGAAATGCCAGTGAGTAGTTAAATGCTGATAAAATTGATACCTAGAATTTGGTATTATCAATCTCTCTACTATCGATATTAAAATCTATAACTGAAAATACCATGTGCTACCAATTCAGATTAGGCCTTCTGCTGTTAGATATATAATACCTATAATTTTTAAGATGGACACATGGAAATTGATAGATTTTAAATGTAAGTAATATAAAAGACATTCATAAGCAGATTAATGATTATTTAAAGAGAAAACCATAGGAGTTATCTCATCTAGGTTGATGCTTGTTATTTCCTTTTTTATACTCCAAAACAACCTTGAGTGCTGCTGAGAATTCACTGTTCTATAATATCACAGTTCACATTGAAGACAGTGAGCTTCTTTCCCTTTGTGATGCTTAATGGGTGACATTTAAATACCACAGCATAATCTTTGCCTAATATATTCCCATTTATGGAATAAATTATAGATATTATATAGAAGTCCCTCTGGTACAATAAGTGAAATTGCTTTTTAATTTTCTAGGGGGACTCAGAGAGAGTCATGATAATTACTGGACCAAACATGGGTGGAAAAAGCTCGTACATAAAACAGGTTGCATTGATTACTGTCATGGCTCAGATTGGCTCCTATGTACCTGCAGAGGAAGCAACAATTGGAATTGTGGATGGCATTTTCACAAGGTAAAAACACGAATTCTATTTGAATATATTTCTGATAATAAATCAAGACCACATTGTTACATGAATTTTCTTACATACATATTTAGTTGAACAGATTTGCTGTGTAGGATTTTGCTATTTAGAATTTAGTAGTTTAAAGAAATCATTTCATCATGAAAGTAATATCAGAAGAGACCTAGAAGATCATTTTGTCCAGTAGTTTCCAAGTTGTTTTTAGTTACTGAGCTCTTCCTTTAAAGGAAACCATGTGTAGAAGCATCAAAATTTAATTAGTTAAAAGCATATCTGCTCTGCCTTAATCAGAGGTAGAGAGCTTGGAGACTTGGTTTCTAGGCTCTGTAGAAAAGTCTGCTATCCATGTTTTATAGGTGGTCTACCCTCCTTGTTTTATAGATGGGGAACTGAGAACAGACTGGAAAAGGCACTGGCCCAAGATAATTTAATTCATATTCCTTTTTGCTCTAAGGACATAACATGAGGCTAAGACTTACCCTCAACATATAAACCTAAATTGCATGCCATATTTAGAATATAGGTGAAATATCCTGGTCCCATGGGTTAACATTCATAGTTTAATCTACTTATTCAGATTTATGAGTTCTTAAAGTATTATTTATACTTTCTACATCACTGACTCGATGGGCATGAGTGTGAGTAAAGTCTGGGAGTTGGTGATGGACAGGGAGGCCTGGCATGCTGCAATTCATGGGGTCGCAAAGAGTCGGACACGACTGAGCGACTGAACTGAACACTTAATTTTTAGAAAAAAGTAAATATAGTCTATAACACATAGTCAAAGTATGTCTATAGAGTATCTGATTTATTTTCCTGCTTATTTAATATTTGACCCTTGAACACATCAGAATATATCACATGCTAATGTTCATGTATTTGAATAGACATTAGAATACTTTAAAGCTTGGTTTTATATTTAAGAATGAGCAAAAGCAAAGCAACTTAAATTCTGTTTTATGCCATGTCACCAAACGAATGTTATTTTGATTTTCATATATTTGTAAATTAACTAGGCTTCCCTGATAGCTCAGTTGGTAAAGAATCCGCCTGCAATGCAGGAGATGTTGGTTCAATTCCTGGGTTGGGAAGATTCCCTGGAGACGGGATAGGCTACCCACTCCAGTATTCTGGCCTAGAGAGTTCCATGGACTGCATAATCCATGGGGTCACAAAGAGTCAAACATGACTGTCTTTCACTTTCAAGAAATTTTAAAAATCTTTCTTTAGTTTTAAAAATTATAATTAATTTTCTGTTTCCTAAGAAAAATATACTGGATATTTTATTTTGGTTACATTATTAGGGAGAGTGACAGAGAAATTTTATTAGGAGAAAAAAGATATAAAGAAGGGAAACTAAAAACAAAGAGAAAAAATATCTTGGCCCATGTAAGGTAATTTGTCTGGAAGAAAACCTGGTTAGCAGAATATCAGGAGTATTTTTATACACAAGTAATAGAAAAGAAAATAGGTTTCACTTTTCTCATTGAACAAAAAGGCCTGAAGTAGGTGGCCACTTCTGGTGTTTTAGTGGCTGTACAGTTTTGTTGTCTTCTCCTAATAGTTGCAAGATAGTTACTGTGAATCTAGACATCACATTGATATTCGCGTGAGGAAAAAGGGAAAAGGAATGCAAAGACTTCTGTTTTTCAGGAAGTCCATACCTTTTTGGAAGCTTCCCAGAAAGTTTCACTTATATGTCACTAACCAGAACTGTGTCTCATGGCGATAATTATAAGGGAAACAAATTATGAATTTGATTTTGTCTAGTTTTATAATAGAGTTAGGTAAGGGACAGGGTGTTCAGGAATAGATTCAGAGGTAACCAGAAAATAGTTTCTGCCACAAGGAATGAATTCAGTGATAACAACAGCTAACCTTTATGATAATAACATATTTATAATATTAATAACATTCTTATCGATGAATAGACACTGTTCTGTGTACATAAAATATTTATATAAAGTACACGAGAGCAAACACAATAAGCCTGGAAGAGGACAACGCATATTAATTTCAACAAACTTGGATATTTATCCATTCGTTTTCATTTGTTCGTTCATCCAACGTATACTAACTTGACATCTAACATGACAAGCACTCGGAATACAAAGCAACCATAGTTTCTGTTCCCATGAAGTTTACCTGATGGAGAAGATTAGCGTAAACCAAAAAATCATATAAAGAAATGTAAAATTGCAGATATGACAAGTCTACAAAGTTGTGTACAAGAGGCTATGACTGCCTGTGGTACTGGGATCTGATCTGGTCACGAAGGTCAGGGGAAGGCTCCCTTTAGCAAGTGATGTGTGTGTGAAGGAGGAGTTAAATTGAAGAAAGAGCATTTCAGACCAAGGAAGCAGCATGTGCAAAGTTCTTTCACATTAAAACAAACAAACAAACACATAGACAGTAGATTGAATGGTTGCTCTCTAGGGCAGCACGATTTTCAATGAAGATATGAAGATGAAGACAATAGGCAAGTTACACAGAGTGTAGGCCACATTAGGAGTTTGTGTAAAAGCCGCGGGAGACCGCTGAAAGGCTTGGCGTGATCACCTCCACACTGGCTGCAGTGCAGAAGGTGTTTGGAGAAGGGACACAGTTGATCAGACCAATGTTATCAGTAGGCCCTTGCAGTGGCCTTGGTGAGAGCTATCAGTAGTTTGAACTGGGTTTGTAGTGTTAAAGTGGAAAGGAGTCATAATTGAAAGGCAGTTAGAAGATAAATCAACAGGACTTGATAGATAGGTATGAGGCTGAGATAAATAAGTAGAGTTTTCAGAGATGAGAGTAGTTTGTGCATCTGGTTGGAGAATGGTGGCATTTACTGGAAGAGGATGATTTTTTTTTTTTCATGGATCCTGACTTTAGTTTTGTTTTTAATTTTATTGGAGTATGGTTGATTTACAATGTTGCTAGTTTCAGGTGGACAACAAAGTGCTTCAGTTATAGACATACACATATTCATTCTTTTTCAGATTCTTTAGCCATATAGGTTATTATTGAATATTGAGTAGAGTTCCTTGTACTATATAGTAGGTCCTTGTTGGTTATTTATTTATATATAGTAGTGTGTGTATGTTAATCCCAGGCTCCTAGTTTATCCCTCTCCCCAGGTTTCCTGTTTGGTAACCATAAGTTTGTTTTTGAAATCTGTGAGTCAGTTTCTATTTTGTAAATATGTTCATATGTATCATTTTTTAAAAATTAGATTCTACATATGGGTGATATCTTGATAGTTGTCTTCCTCTGCCTGGCTTATTTCACTTAGTATAATAATCTCTAGGTCCATCCATGGTGCAGCAAATGGCCTTATTTCATTCTTTTTTTTTTTTTCGATTTATTTTTATTAGTTGGAGGCTAATTACTTTACAACATTGCAGTGGTTTTTGTCATACATTGAAATGAATTAGCCACGGATTTACATGTATTCCCCATCCTGGTCTTATTTCATTCTTTTTGATGACTGAGTATTGACTTTATGTTTGTGTGCAGTAGGTAGAAACACTCTTAGACCTTAAGAAAGCTGTCATGTAGTCAGTTGAATATAAAATTTGAGTTCAGAGGTAGAGATGAAAGGTATCAATATAGATTTGTTGTGAGATATCTTTGTGTAAGTGGGAGTGAAATCCTGGGTGTGAATGGGATCCTGTTGGCAGAGAGTATAGTAAAGAAGACAGTGTTCCAAGACTGAGCCTTAAAACTGCCAACATGTCATGGCTGAGTAAGAAGAATAAGCTTGAAAATACAACAAAGGAAGAGTAGCCAGAGAGGTAGGGAAAAAACCAGGACATCACAGTATCATAGGAGCATGGGGAAAGTGCTTCAAGGAAGAAATGGTCTACAGTAGTTGAATGAGATGAAGCCTCAGAAGTCCACCTTGGTTTTAGCAAAATGGATGTAACTAGTGCCCTTTGCAAGGACTGTTATGTTTGGGTGGTGGGAGGTTATAACTTTTAACCCTCCAGTTATAGAGAGTTCAACAGTAAGTGAGAGGTTAGGAAATAGAGTTATTAGACGATGCTGGAGCAGATTGGGAAGAGGAGGTGAGAAATACAGTAAGGGACTTGTTTTGTTTTTGAGTGGTAGACTTGCACATGTTTAAGAGGGATGTCCAGTGGGGTATGTTTATGTCCATGAATTTATGATTCTAAAAAAAGATGCATTGGTCACCTTGGAGGATATTAGAATGAATTCATGATATTTAAAACAAGAAGTCATTAACCACTTTGGAGAATGAGAATTTAAAGATAAAGGGGAGGTGGGAGGGGGGATCAGGATGGGGAATACATGTAAATCCATGGCTGATTCATGTCAGTGTATGACAGAAACCACTACAATATTGTAAAGTAATTAGCCTCCAACTGATAAAAAAAAAAATAAAGATAAAGGGGAGAATCAAGCAGCTACTATGTCTTTCCAAAAAGATGATGAGAAGAATCTTCCCTTTATAGCAGTGCTCCAGCTAGCAAAGAGGTAATAGTGGAATTAGAATATCACCCCCCTCTTTTTTTTTTCAATCTCTAATGTCATTATACATCTAGGCAATAATTAGAAATGGCTGCTAATGTCTTGAAAAGAGAGACAACCAAACATTAGGTAAAAGTTTGTAACACAAGCTATGAAATCAGGGCAAACAAATCAAATCTAAATCTATTTGGATCTCTAGATCTGTTTGAAACAGAGAGTGATACTGGTCTTTTATACTGCATGATTGAGCACAGCTTTAAAACACTAGTTAATTAGCAAACTTACCTGTGAATCAGTCAAAGAAGAAAAGAAGTAAATAGATCATAAAGATTTAAACACATACATATGGAACTTTCATGGACCTCAAGGTCATGTTTATATTGGCAGAAGCAGTCCGCCATGAGCCCTGACTGTCTCTGCATGTACCTGCTGAGTATACCAAGAAAACCATATTTCTCCCTACCTAGGCTTTTGTCAGGGGTGGACTTGAAGTAAGCAATATTGAGAGAAAAGGT